CACCATGCCCGGCTAATTTTTTCTATGTATTTTTAGTTGTCCGATTAATTTCTTTCTATTTTTAGTAGAGACGGGGGTCTCGCTCTTGCTCAGGCTGGTTTTGAACTCCTGAGCTCAAACAATCCCGCCCGCCTCGGCCTCCCAGAGAGCTAGGATTACAGGCGTGAGCCACCTGCCCTGGCCCTGCTCAAGTCCAATTAATTTTTTTGTATTTTTTTTTTAGTAGAGACGGGGTCTTGCTCTTGCTCAGGCTGGTTTTGAACTCCTGAGCTCAGACAATCCCGCCCGCCTCGGCCTCCCAGAGAGCTAGGATTACGGCCTGAGCCACCATGCCTGGCCCCATCATAAGTGATTTTAAATTGCTTTTTACTTAGCTGTAATTCTAAATTTTACATATTGCTTTAACAATAAGAAATTAATAATAATGATAATGAAGTTTTTTAATAGAAGAGAACACAAAATTACTTTAAAAATGGGTTCTCTTGGCAGCTCTATCCCTTCTCCATACTCCTGTCTTGATATATCTGTTGGGCTTTGATCTTTGAGTTTGGAATCCATTAGGGCCGCCTGTGTGTTTACGGAGCAGTTCACGCTCAATGCCCCACCCATGGTTAGGGTGAGAAATCTCTCTCATCCTCCCCATTTATGGGAACCCTACTATGGGCCAGGTGCCTTGTTGAGAACGGTGTGACTATCATCTCACTGAAAGCCCTCAAGCATCTTATGACGTAGGTCTTATCATTGTCTCCCCACTCTGCAGATGAAGAAATTGCCGTTCCAAGAGATTACATGGCTTGCTCAAGGTCATGCTGCTAGGAAAATGCAGAGCTAAGACTTGCACAAAGGCTCCCTGAGTCCAAAGCCCGTGTCCAGCCACCTCCCCGAGGTCAGGAACCCCAATGTCACCGGGAGCTAGACATGGCACACAAATAAGTCAGACCACGGGTGGAAAGCAGTGGGCACCGTGGGGAACTGGAGACCACAGGCTCTAGCTAGAGACATCCACATCCACGTTTTCCTTAAACACAGAGCCAGGGGACCCCCAGCTCGCACTCTCTGCAGTGGGCAATATCGCCTGACTGGAAATCAAATTCTGCAGTGGGAATCTCGTGTCCCACGGGAGGAATTATCCTTAGTCCCTTTCCGGATGCCTTCCCTCTCTCAATACCTGTCTCCCTTTTTCATTCATGTTTCTCATCCTGCAAAAAAATATTTTACTCTAAAATATTCTGGAGGAACTCTCAGTGCAAAGAATCCCCGTCGGAATGAGGACAATTGTTTTTTGAGGCCTCATTTGAAACCAATTTAACTAAAGTTTACCTGAAAGAGGTGACAATATTTGTCACAACAGTTCAGATCTCTAGGGATGCTAATTTGGAGAGATTTTTGGCCATAACCAACTGCAAGAAATGCATTTCAGAGAGAGAGAGAGAGAGAGAGAGAGAGAGAGAGAGAGAGGGAACTGAACCAAGTTCACAAAATAATACTATGCACAGCATCTGATATTTTATAATTATGGTCCTTTTCATGTTTGCTGGTTGCCAGGCTGGTTGTTATGCACTAGTGGGTTTTGTAGTCCATAACCAGCTGGTTGAAAAACATTGACCTGCAAATCTCTCTACTTTGGCCACAAGTCAAGCACACAGCCCTTCCCCCGCGAGCCTGGCGTTGAACTGCACTGATGTGTTTCTTATGGGGGTGAGGTGTATGAAAAACTTCTTTACTCCCCGTACATCTTCAGGAAACTCACTTGTTTCTTAAGATCTTGTTTTCCTCATTTTTCACAACAAATTAATTATAAGCTACATTTGCTTTAGACTCTTTTTTCTTGAAATGTTATCATTTCAGTCCACCTGAAGCCCCTTAAGACACAATTGGCCACCTCCTCTGAGCGTGCGGAAGCGTCTCAGTAGGTTGCACACTCCCACCTAACAATTCACACTCCTTGTCCCAGCAGAAGTGACCAAATAAATATAAGATAGATGCTGCCTATCAGAGTTCAAGAAATAAAGCAACAGGACGTGGAACGAGGTCTCCTTGAAAAGGTTTCCAGAGACAGAGTATTTTTATAGACCCACAATCACAAGTAAAACATTTCTCTATTTTTTATGAGAACATGCTATGCCTACTCACCCCAAAGATGAAAAGTCCTTGCCTCCAACCCAGCCTGGTAGCTCCTCAGAACTAACAGAAGAGGAAGTGCATCGCACTTATAATGAGGTCCAGTTTCTCACGGAGTCTTGTGGGTAGACGAGAAGGCTGGGTTGTTGGTCAAGGACTTTGCATAAAGGTCCATTGGTTCTCTTTTCATTACAGTAATTTAAATCGTACATTACCAGCGTGGGCCGTATTAAAGTGCCTTGGAAAATGAACCTTGGAAATGGTGTTCAAAATGGGACAAACCAAATAAATAACGGAGAGAGGATTCAACTCTCGTGGATGCCAAGGAAGCGGGTCCAACTTTGAAGAGACACTTTAATTTTTACTGCAAGAGTTGAAGGCCAGGGTGTGGAAGGGAGAAGTCAGCCTATCTCTGTATTGCCCGGTGTCCTATTTCAGAATCACTTCTCAGTGAACCACTTTGGGAAAAC